GGATCCGCCGGCCTACATCGAGGAGGTGGGAGTGCGACGCGGCGCCGCTACAGACCGGGGTGTGACTGGTTTAGACAGTAGCAGGGGGAAGGAGTGGAGTGAAGCTGGGATCCTGGTTCGCCCAAAGTTCTCCTGCTAGGTACAGGAGTCCCTCGGGAGGAAAGAAAAGGGGTTTATCTCCCAACCTCACAGAGGTGGAGAGACAGACAGCCCCGCCCCCCAACCTCCAACTTCCATGCAGATTTATCAGCCTTTTCCTTTCAGAAACCCCTAAGTTGAGGAAGTCTGTAACACTTGATGAATTGTATGTTAGAACGCCTTGGGTCGAACATCTGTTTCTGAGAGCCGGAAATGGACCTCCAGACATAGGATTCAAAGCTGGCAGTGGGGACAGTTAAGTGCAGAAAAGAGTACTGGTCTGGAGGGATGCCAGTGCTCTGGAAGTAGCACCGAGGAGCAGAGAGGACACCTACTGGCTCAGCAATGCTGGGCGGAAGAAAACGAGGTAGCAGTGTGTTAGGAGAGAAACAGGTTTCAATAGAGCATCAGAATGACTGGGCTACTTTAAAAAATATAATGCCCTAACCCCACCGAAGAGTTCTTGGTCTGGGGACTAGAGGGGAATAAGGGATGTCCTGGGAGCCTTGTATATTTGTGGTGACTGATGAACATAAAGGGTGTAATGATATTAGTTCTCATCATCTTAAGGCATATATTAGTGGCTGAGCCACGGGTAGGAAGGGGGGAGAAGTGAGATAAAGATCTTAGCAGCAGCACACCGAGTTCTGGGGCTCTTTCCATACTCCTGTCACAACGGCGGTATGGAGTCAAGAGAGTAGGGTCTTGTCTGAAGCATGGAGGGGCGGTAGTTCCTTTTCTTGATTCCTGCTCTTGGAGAAAGCTGGGGACCTAAGAGTTTTGTTTGGGGAAATCAAAAGTTATGTTTTTTGACCATGCTAGGTTTAAGATGTCTATTAGAGATCGAGACAACAGATGTCAGGCAGTTGGAGTTACGGATTTGGAGTTCACTGGACCAGTAAGGACTGCTAATATAAAGAAATATTCATAGTGTCGCTCTCATACACTCACAATTTAAAGCTATGGTCTAGGAATGATGAGTAGATGTAGGGCATGGAACTGAGGCCTGGTAAGTTCCAACATTAGATTGTGTTGTTGTTAGAATTAAACATAATTAAATGAGAAAATGCACATAATGACTTTGGCATATTGCAATTGCTGAGTAAGTGGAAGCTATTATCATTATTTTTGTGCCTTAAAAGAAGATGGTAATTTTGACGGCAGAGTTGTATAGTTGTGCTCTAATTTACACTTTCTGACCCAATATTTTTCTGCTGCTGCGAGTGCTCATATACACAGAAAATGTAGTAAGGGTCATTTGGATAATAAATGGCAGAATAGATCCAGAATCTGAGTTTTTGACTCTGGCTTTAATGTTCTTTACACCATACCACCTAAATTTCTAATGATAAGGGAAAGGGTCTTTAGAAAAATTTGATGTATCAGTTTTTTTGGAATCTTATTTTGAAGAATGCAGATAAGGAAAAGATGTTTCTGGACACCTTTGCCATGTCTTTTTCTCTGTGCCACTATCAGAGATGTTTTAGTACTAAGTAATTTCTCATTTTTTACTGAAAAAGTCATATAATAGGAGGTGACTAACATATCTTATTTTCCTACAGTTTCTACAGCAGTATAATCACTACAAATCCAATGTGGAGATTTTCAAATTACAACCAAATAAACCCAGCAAAGAACTGGCAGAGCTGGTGATGTTTATGGCACAGGTAAGATAATAATTTCTGAAAACAAATAATAATAATTCTGAAAACAAACAATTTCTAAAACAAAGACCAGTTGTTTCACAGTTCGCAGAATATCTTTCCAGTAGTACCCAACCTTATTCCATTCAGGAATGGAAACTTAATGTAAAAAAATATTTTTTTGTTTCCGTTTCTTACAAATGTTATTTTCTTCCTGAGTTGAATTAGAAGATTTCACTAGAGCTTTTTGCAGAACCAACCAAAGCAAAACTTTCAGACTGTTTTTTTTTTTCAAATTCATCATAAGAGCAGATTTTAAACAACATCACACATATTTTACTAATACTGCAAGAACAATGAAAGAGGTCAGAGAGATTAGCATGTAGAATAAAAAAGAAATGATTTGGAACTAGCTACTTCTATGAAACATAGCCTTGTACTCTCCTTTTTCAGAACATCATAAATATGTGCATATGAATGGTAGGAGAGAAAAAGAAACTTCAGAAGAGCCTTTGCTTTGTTACAGATTGGTCACTGCTATCCAGAACATTTAAGTAACTTTCCTCAAGAGCTGAAAGATCTTCTTTCCTACAATCACACTGTCTTGGATCCAGATCTTCGAATGGTGGGTCTAGTATTTGGATTTGATAAATTGTGTTGTGTTTATATGTGCATGTATTATGTGTTTAAATGAGAACAGCCTCAGCTAAACATCTTCTTAAAACATAAATCAGAATGCGTCACGAATTCCTTAAAATCTTTCTGTGGCTTCTCATTTATACTTAGAGTAAAACTCAAACTTATTAACATGGCCTATAAGTCCCTACATGATCTGCTTCTTGCCAGTGTTTTTGACCTCGTCTCCTGTAGCAGAATGCTGCTCTCCTCTCTGTGATCTTTCTGTTCTTCCAGCATGCTAACCCTGCCAGGAAGCTCTTTTCCCTCTTCTGAATACGTGGTTCATTCCTTCTAGTCATTCAAATCTCAAATGCATTAAGAGCCCTAATTATAACTTACGGTTTTTACAATGCTTTATTGATTTACTTATTTTTTAATTTGAAGAGTTTGAGTAAAATTCAGTTCCACCTGGGCAATGCCAAGCTGGAATTGATTAGGAGCAATCCCGTAATGCTGAATTTAATAAATTTATTCATTAACTGGCCAGTTGGAGCATTCAAGCCATTGTCACTGTAGTGGTTGTTATTGGGTCCTGGCTGAGATTCCCCCTTACCAGCCTAGTGCTCCCATTGCTGTCCCTGGTGGTGAATGTTGGCCGCCGATGGCCCCCAGCTGCCCTCTCTCTGGTGTCTTGTCTTCAGCTAAATGAGAGCCCTAGCACCTGGGAGGTTGCCCTCCCAGCCTACAGGTTGTACCTGACTAACCCAGAGATACAAAAGCCTGGCTCTTCCCTCAACGTGGGTCCAACTTCATGTTGCAGTTTGTGCTCCAGGGCTTCTCTGTGATTGGACTAAAGCTGGTCTCCAGCCAAGGACATATCCTTCCTCAGCTTTTCTTTTCTCTGCTCTGTCCTGCTTCCTTTACTTCCCTTCTAGAAGAGAGCATACCCTGGACAAATCACTGCAATGAATCTGGCTCTGCTGCTAGGGAACTCAGCCTAAGACATTTTCAGATTTCATACATCTGCTTTTCAGATACCTCTACAGCAGGTAGAACTTAACACAAATATTATGATCACAAAACATATTGATATCCTTTGCCAAAACTTGTACAATGCTAAGTCTAGAGATTCAGCTTTGTTTCTTACTCTTACATTTTCCCAGGATTTTTCTAATTCTACCATTTTTATAATTCTTTAGGATTTTATTAATTTGATTAGGCCCAACAGAAAAAGAATACCATTCAGACAAGCCAAGGTTTCAGGCTCTGGGTTGCCAACTGAATGACCCTCACTTGGGATGTGGGACCTGGCAGCACAGCCCAAGAGACTTCAAACTCAAACTATTAGTCAAAAGACTTTTACTTATGTCATGAAACTTTTCGAGTCCTTATAGATGATACAGATTTGAGATTTTGAGTATAGAGACCTAGTGTCTTTCCAAGTACTATAATTAGATTTTCTTTAAGTTTTGTGTGTCTAACAGTACCAACTAAACTGGTCTGCAGGCGTTGTTAAATAAGTAATGTGTGTATGTTTCTTTGTCATTTCTTATGATGATTAATAGGCTTAAAAAATAATAGAGATTTCCTTTGCTAGGACACAAAGGATTGAGTCTGTGTAATTAGCATTCCTCTTTAAAAGAATCATTTGGAACAAACTGGTGGATCCTCATTTTAATTGGTGATGGTGATAACCACCAGTCCTTATCAATTACTGGACTTACTACCTAGTGTGTTTGTTTCTTCCCCAGGACTTTTTGAGTCATTCCCAAGTTTGTGTTCACTCTTTCCTGCTTACACAGCTAGAACTGACTGTGTTTCTTAATGGAAGAAACAAAATATCTATGTATATTAACTTTCACTTAATAAAATCAGTAAAATGATTTTTTTTATCTTTCTTTGACACTGTAACCTTTTTATGCCTTTTGTTCATTTCTTTTTTTTAAGCCTTAATTATTTTTAGTCCAAATTGTTATCACCTGGCCAGTGGGAGCTTCTCAGTCCTTTTACCAAAGCCCCTGATATTTTTGAAAGCATCCTTACATTCTGGCAGAAATAGTTCCAAACCCCTTTTTACTGCTTTTCCTGCCCCAAGACTTGGAATCAATAATTCTCCAAGGATTACTTGTTCCATTAATGGAGAACAGTTGGTAGAAACCAAACCTTGGGCGATAAGGGTACTCGTGAAAGTCGGTGGTAAGCAGCCGTGCTGCAAGTGCTGTTGGGCAATTCTTGGTACTAATGATACTTCCAAGGAATGCCTTGTAAGGTCACAAATCAGGTTGATGATTCCAGATTATTCTGTTCTTGTTACCACACCTTTCTTACTTCTGTGCATTCATTGATCACGTAAGGGTTTGTCATATCTTGACACTTCCTTAAGTAGCCCTCTGTCAGTCACTGTATCAGTTATATTACCCTGTTTTACTTTATGACACGTATCATTATCTGAGATACAACTGTTTAGGTGCTTCCTTGCTTGTCTGTCCCACTCCCAGTGTAAGGTGCGCGAGGGCAAAGACTGTACTATTGACTGTACTATTCTGATGCCCAAAATGGTGCCTAGTTAGAAGATATCACACTTTCTTGGGATATATGTACTCCATTTTCTCATTTTAATTTCATCATCATTATTTTATGGTATGTTTTCTTTTCCTTCCTTAGACATTTTGCAAAGCTTTGATCTTGCTGAGAAACAAGAATCTCATCAATCCATCAAGTTTGCTAGAACTCTTCTTTGAACTTCTGCGTTGCCATGATAAGCTTCTGCGAAAGGTAAAGGGCAAAATTGCTTCCCCCCCCCCCCCTTATATCTCCACATTTTTCCTTGCAGTAACATTAAACTTGTAGAGTGAATTCTTGGTATAGTTAATAATTTTAATAGGAAAAAAATTGATGCTTGTGTGCATACAATATGGTGGTAATAGCTAACATTTAATGAGTGCTTGCTTTTTGCCAGCTACCATTCAGAGCTTCTTATATACTTGTTTACTTACAAAATGAGAGAAGGTTCATTATTACTGTTATTTTACAGATGGAAAGGCTAACGCACAAAGAGAGAGTAATATCCTAGAATCATGGGACATATTAGTGGGGAAGCAGGAGTATAAACCCAGGCAATATGGCTCCAGAACCCAAGCCTTTTCCCACTGTACTATACTGACTAGCTAAATCAGAGCATGGACTGGACACTCATAGCTGTAACAACCCCCAACGGATCTCCCAAAACACTACTTTTTTTTGTTATAAATATTTCCCTATGACTAGTATTTGCTTGTATAAGCCAGCCTAGAAGCTGAAGGTTTGTGAAAGAAATTTACGAAAGAAGAATTTAAGTTTACATTTTATTAACTGGAGGGCCCCTTAGGTGACTCAGTAGGTCGAGCAAATGACTCTTGATTTCGGCTCAGGTCACGGTCCCAGGCGCACCCTGAGCCCCGTGGCGCACTCTGCACTGGGCTTGGAGCCTGCTTAAGCTTCTGTCTCTACCTCTGCCCCTCTCTCCTGGTTGTGCTGTTTGCTCTCTCAAATAAATAAACTTTTTCCAAGTGTCGGTGATATTTATATTGCCAGTATCATCTTGCATGCATTAGGGGCTAAGTAAGTAGAGCAACTTTACTTTTTTTAAATAACAATTTTATTGTGATATAACTCACGTACAATTCATCTATTGAAAGTGTACAGTTCAATGATTTTTAGTATATTGGCAGAGTTTGCAACCATCACACAATCAATTTTAGAATATTTTTAACCCCCCTCAAAAAGAAACACTCCTCCCATTAGCAGTAGCTTCCCATTTCCTCATCTCTGTCAGGCCTAGGCAGCCACCAGTCTACTTTCGGTCTCTACAGATTTACCTACTCCGGGTATTTCATATGAATGGAATCACACAATATGTAGTATATGTGTATGGCTTCTTTCACTCAGCATAATGCTTTCAAGGTTCATCTATGCTGTTGCATTTATCGGTACTTCATTCCTTTTTGTTACCAAATTTATTCCATTATGTGAGTATACCACATTCTGTTTGTCCATTCATCAGTTAATGGACTATTGGGTTGTTTCCACTTTTTGGTTATTGTGGATGCTGCTGCTGTGAATATTTGTGTGGACATAGGTGTGGAAATATATTTTCATTTTTTCTTGGATATATAACTAGGAGTGTAATTGTTGGGTTATATGGTAACTCCATGTTTACTTTTCAGGGCAACTTTCTTTTACATTTTAGCTGTTGCTTTTTGTTTTGTTTATGGTGTCTTGTTATAGATGAAAAGTGAATAAAATTAAACTTTCCCCTACATTTGTACTTTTTTCCAAATTACTCATGAGCAAGACTAGAAACGTTGGTTAACGTGTATGTGTTTTTGTTTTCCTCAGACTTTATACACACATATTGTCACGGATATCAAGAATATAAATGCAAAACACAAGAACAATAAAGTGAACATAGTAAGTACCCTTTTGTTTCCCATGTTTGCAGCATTGTACCAGCAGTGTATTGAGTCTTCCTTCTCCTCATTTTCTTTAGGTGTTGCAGAATTTCATGTATACCATGTTAAGAGATAGCAATGCAACTGCAGCCAAGATATCTTTGGATGTGATGATTGAACTCTACAGAAGAAACATCTGGTAATATATACGTAATTGTCTCTTGAGAAATAGACTCATATTCATTTAGAATTACTACAGAGCACATACACAAATATTTTTCTCGATCTTGAGCTCTTTAATATATCTGTCATAAATTAAGTTGGAAATAAAAATATAGAGCAATCCAAATAACTAGGAACATTGGCTGCCATTTCTTGAGCACCTATATCTCATGTTACCTTGTTCAACCTTTAGAATAACATAATTCAGCTTATCTGGAATTATCCCCATTTTATAGGTAACAAAACTAAAGTTCATAGAGTTTAAGCTTAGTAGCTAGCCAAGGACAGAGCTGAAATTAAAACCTGGATATCGGGGGTGCCTGGGTGGCTCAGTCAGTTAAGTGTCTGACTTTTGATTTCTGCTCAGGTCATGATCTCATGGTTTGTGAGATCAAACCCCATGTTGGGCCCTGCACTGACAGCACAGAGCCTGCTTGGGATTCTCGCTCTCCCTCTCTCTGCCCCTTCCCCATACTCACTCACTTGCTCTCTCTCACACAAAATAAATAAACATTAAAAAAAAAACCTTGGATGTCAGACTCTCAAATCTGTGCTATTTCTACTCTGCCACTCTGAAAATTTTTAAGTCACTTTATCCTCTGTATGAAATACCATGTTCTGTAAACTTTGGTTTATTGATACATTGCTCCTGATTCATGTTTTTTGCTTTTCTTATTTGCTAATTTTTATTTTACTATAAAAGTAATATTCATTGCAACAAAAAAAATTGGAGAAGCTAGAAAGGTTTTTTTTTAAATTTTTTGATAGTTTCACCACCCAGAGATGATCACTGTTAACAGTTTATGATACTGTCTCCTGTCTTTTCTTTAATGTGAATTTTTAAATATGGTTGGAATTTTGCCACACTAATAAGTTTTTATTCTTTTTTTTTTTATTTTTTTAAATGTTTTCATTTTATTTCTTAGAGTGCAAGCAGGGTAGAGGCAGAGAGCGGGAAAGACACAGAATCTGAAGCAGGCTCCAGGCTCTGAGCTGTCAGCACAGAGCCTGACGCAGGGCTCGAACTTATGAACCATGAGATCATGACCTGAGCCGAAGTTGGACACTTAACCAACTGAGCCACCAAAGCGCCCCTGTATTCATTTTTTTATTTCACTTATCTTAAATAGCTTCCTATGTCATTAAAACTTCTTCAAAAAAAAATCTATCTTAAAAATGGCTGCATAATTTTCTGACAGAAGACTGGGCTAAAGTTTAAATGTTCACCTGTGGTTGACTATTTAGCATTTAGCAATCTATGACTTTTTTTTTCTTCCTTTGTAACCCATGACTATTTAAACTGTGTATTCTAACCTGTCAGAAATATATTTTATTGTTTAGGGGCACCTGAGTGGCTCAGTTATGCATCCAGCTCTTGATTTTGTCTCAGGTCATGATCCCAGGGTCACGGGATTGAACCCATCATTCTCTGGGTTGAGCGTGGACCCTGGCTTAAGATTCTCCCTCTCTTTCCCTCTGTCCCTGTCCCACTTAACGTGCGTTTGCACACATGATCTATCTCTCTCTCAAAAACAAAAGAAAGAAATACATATTGTTTATTTTGTGCCATTGTCAATGCTATGAAATGCAGTAGAATGAAAATTCACTTTGAAAACCTTCATTTGTCTTACCCCAGGAATGATGCCAAAACTGTCAATGTGATAACAACCGCGTGTTTCTCTAAGGTCACTAAGGTATGTGTCTGTAGTCATTTCCAGATGGAAAGTAGAGGAGATGGCTGTGTGGGGAAGAGGTAGCGTAGGGCATGCAGTTCGTGTTTAGTAATGCTCTCTTTGTGCTTGGGCTGCTTCCCTGGTTCATCTGTGCTTTAGAGGCGGCAAATAAAGTTAGGAGTTCTTTAAATGCTTTGTACTAAATGATGCCTTAGTGTTTATTTTGTTTCATCCTATAATTCTTGACTGTTCTTTTGTTGGGCGAAAGCACAGCTGAAAGAAATTTAAGAATATGTTAGACTTTCTGTTAGAAGGGCTACAATGTCACTTTTTTGGTGGTGGGGGGTGGGTTGGTGGCTGGATATAGAAATAAATTCTTGGCAATCTACTTGAAAGATAACAACTATGTAGAGCCTGGATTTTTTAAAATTATTTATATTTTTAGGACAAATAGCATTATTAAAACATTGTTTTAATTGAGAAAAATGAGCCCATATCCCACCAGTCTGATTTTGTTCCTTCAGATCCTAGTTCTGTGCATGAATAATGTGTAAACAAAAGTATTTATTCTTTGTTGTAAGCTGGGGTGAGTCACTGACTTTTGTTCTGATTGGTCTTTAGATATTAGTTGCTGCTTTGACATTTTTCCTTGGGAAAGATGAAGAGGAGAAACAGGACAGCGACTCAGAGTCTGAGGTTATACGTTCAACAGTAGATGCTTTCTTAGGTTTACAGTCTATCAGATTTCATTTTTGCTCTCAGTACAGATTGTAAAATCCATGACTGCTCAAGTTAGAAAGAAACTTACATGTCGCCTTTATCTTTTATTGTGTTCTGCCATGCTGAGATTTTATCGTTTAGAATTTGTCACTTACATTCACTAAGATTGGCTAAAGAACTAATAAAAGTTAGACTCATTCAGCCTTGTTCTTAGTTCCAAAGCTAACCTTTATCTCACTATATAAACTTAGAATGGAAATTGCTGCCAGCATATTTTTTGAGATTATGTCAACATTATAGAGAATTCAGAGAAGGAGAGGAATAATATCATGGCATCTTTAAAAGGCAAAATCAAGATTTATGATGTCATGAAATTTTTTTATTAAAAAATATTTTTTAGGGGTGCCTGAGTGGTGCAGTCGGTTAAGTGTCCAACTCTTGATTTTTGCTCAGATCATGATCTCACGGTTCGTGAGTTCCAGCCCCACACTGGGCTCTGCATTAACAGAGTGGAGGCTGCTTAAGATTCTCTCTCTCCCTCTCTGTCCCTCCCTCACTTGGTTGCGCACTCACTCGCTCTCTCAAAATGAATAAACAATATTTTTTTATTAAAATCAAAATGGAAAAATTCTAAGAAAAAATACCCTTTCCCATTTTAGCATTTTGGTAATAAGAATACTGGAATTTATAATAAGATCTTTTAATTCATTTTATTATTTTATTAAGTAATGTATGAACAATATATTCTTATTGTAAAAGATTTCAGATATTCTAGATACAATAAAAGTTTTCTTAACCTTGTCTTATTTCCACTTCCTAGTTCCATCTTCACAGATAACCATCCTGTTTCGTGTGTATTTATATACGGATGTGTGTGTATTGTCTTATGTATATATTAGGTCTTTGAAATATACATAAATAACATATATATTACTCTGCAACTGCTTTCTTTGTGTCATATATATAGATATACTGATGCATTTAGATCTTCTAAGTACATACAGATCTACCTCATTGTTTTAACCTTCACATATTTCAGAATATGAATGTATTATAGCTTAAGCATTTTCCTCATGATATTATTTCCAATTTCTTTCAATTAAAAACAAAGTTGTATTCTATACTTTGATAAAATTGAAAGCAAAATATAAAAGCAAAAATACGTGTTGCAGTGAAAATCTTTGTATGTACCTGTTTGTACACATGAGCAGATACTTTTTATTGAATTTTAAGTCATGCTCATTTTTTATAGTGGTTGCAGAGCATAAGTACACAGAAGTCTTTGAAAGGTTTACCATTTGCTTCTGTGCAGACTTTCCTTGTTTACAAAGTAGTCTCTTCTTCAGGATGAAGGACCAACAGCAAGAGACCTGCTAGTGCAATATGCCACAGGGAAAAAAAGTTCCAAAAACAAGAAAAGGTTGGAAAAGGCTATGAAAGTGCTCAAGGTGAGACTCATACCTGGAAAATGTGGTAGGAGTGATTAGACTATAGAATATGGGGTTTTTAGTGGAAGCTGTTAAGAATTTGAAATGAAGAAATAGCATTTCTGAAAGACTTAGAAATGTGTGATGAATTTTTAAGTACTAGTTTTTTAGGTGACTAAATGTTTTCAACTCTAGCAAAATCTATACCTTGAATAAATTAATTTGCTTAAATTCACTTTTCACTTGTCCTAAGCAAGATGACCTATATTAGGGTATTTTTGCTAAACTTACCTTCTCAGGAGAGTACACAAATAAAATACATTTTAAATTTTGTTATATTTGGTTATTCTGAAAACTCATTAATTTGGCCCTTCTGTGTTTTTTTTGTTTATATTTCTAAATTCCTTTAAGTCTTAACAGGTGCTATTTGCTGGAACATTCCTGAGATTTAATGTTAAAAGATAAAAACCACCTTTTGTTCTAGTTGAAAGAAAGGTTTTTGGAACAGATTTGTTGTGGGTTCCCCGCCCCCAATAGTCTGATGTAATGTAAATGTTTTTCCTCTCACTTTATTGCAGAAACAAAAAAAGAAGAAAAAACCAGAGGTGTTTAACTTTTCAGCTATTCATTTGATTCATGATCCCCAAGGTATTATAATTATGACTTCCCAAGTTCCTTTTTGGCCTTATCTCTGCCTGTTGCCAGGGAATATAAGATCTCTGGCACTTACTAGACAATCAGTAATTGTTTAGTTGTTACTGGTTGGGTATAACCAATGTGGAAGAATAGCTCTTTGCTTCATGTCTTTAACAACAACATAGCGCTAGGACATTGTACTTGACTAAATGAAAAATTGATAGTCTTTTGTTGGTGCAGATTCTGATTTAGTAGGTCTAGGGTGGGGCCTGAGATTCTGTGTTTCTAGCAAGCTACCAGGTGGACCCACTACTGCTGGTCTGCAGACCACGCTTTGGGAGGCACACTCTAGCGAACTGTTAAGTGGAGCTCCAAACAGTCATTCAAGATGTTGATGCTAAAATTTGGGGGACTTAAGACTTGACTTTGAGCACCATTGACAGTATATTCACCTGTGTGTGAATCTCTTCACCTTCCGTCATGCTGCTGTTCTTACCATCCTGGTTTAGCAGAGTGTTCTCAGGTTCAACTGTACCAGTCACTGATCTAACCGCTACCTTTCTCTACACCTGTTAGACAATGTTGTATAGACTGTGGACTTACAGTGGACTTCTCTGATACTCTCCTTTCCAGATTTTGCAGAAAAACTACTAAAGCAGCTAGAGAGCTCTAAGGAGAGGTTTGAGGTGAAAATGATGCTCATGAACCTCATCTCCAGATTGGTGGGAATTCATGAGGTTTGCATTCCATTATGTTTCTCATTTTGGTGAATATTAGAAGTAGAATCATTCATGGTAAAAGGAAAGCCATTAAGGTAGAACTGTGGCTTACTTTTATCTCTTAAAACCACTTAAACCCATATATTTTACAGAAGAATAAAATCTTTCACTCTGAAAATAGCTGTTTTTATAATTTTGTTTTCTTATCAGTAAGTACGGATGTTAAATTGTACATATATTCAGTTTATGGACAGACTGTTTTGTGTTCTGTGTTTCTACTATTTATTTGTTTTGCATATACATTTTTCTGAGCCAACGTAAACTGGATATTTTTATTGATTATTACTACATTTTGCAGTTTGTTTACCTCTTTATAGCTTTCCTGACTTTCAGACCACTCTGGTAAGGAGGTTGTCATGTTTGCAGAGTTGAATTCTCTTGTCATTTATTTCATACTGAATTAAATTACAGGAGCTCCTTGGTGGTATTGTGTGTGTGTATCTATACACACACACACACACACACACATATTGTGTGTGTAGATCTATACACACACACATACATACACACATATATACATGTGCACACATATATGTGTACACACACATTATATATATATATACACACACACATACATACATACATATGGTATACACATGGAAACTTCACACATACTCATAGACTGCTGTTGTAGAAAAGGAGAGGTTTCCAAAAAGTTAGACCACTGAAGAAATGGCCATTGAGGTTGTTGCCTATCATTTTGCTCTTGAGATGTACTGCTCTCTACATCATGGGATGTGTTACTTTCTTCAAAAAGTTTTTTTTTTTTTAAGCAAAAAAAAGTAAAACAGGTTTACTGAAAATCTAACAGTGTCGACATACATTGTTAAAGATGAAAGTACCCATGAATGAAAGCACTTGTTCCCTTTTCCTAAGACTTAACATTTTAGTGAATAGAATGCTTTTTTTCCATGAGCTGTAGTCCAACAGCAGGATTACCAGGTCAATTTATGTTATGTTTGTGCAGAAATTTCCTGTCAGACCTGAATTTGAGCTTGATCGGAAAGCAGAAGTGATGTGTAACTTAAGCATGGTTTGTTAGAAATGATAACTAGAGTTTCACAACTGACTGTAATTGAGCGTCCATTTTTATATTGAACGTAAGTCTTCCTTGTTACTTGTCCGGTCTTGGTTTTGCTCTGTGGCTAAATAGAAAAAATTAATTAATTTGTTCTGATATGATGAACTTTGAGAAAGAGCAGTCCATCTCCATAGTTTCTCTTCCTGAAGTTCAAGATTACAGCTGGTTTGGTGAACATGTTGTCATATATTTAAATGTCAAATCACTATGTTGTACACCTGAAACTAATATAATATTGCTCGTGAGCTGTACTGCTGTTTTTAAAAAAAGAATACAGTTGCTTTAATAACTAGATCCTGTCACTTTTATTTAGGTAGACTCCAGAGTGCTAGTGCTTTCTCCCTAAAATATAGATCTCAGAGTAATTCCTCCAGTGTGATTGGACTGGTGTCCAGTAATAAAATGAGAACTGTAGGGTTTGGGTGATGAAATTATACCAGGGGCGCTATTCAGATTTGAATTACTCTTTGATCCCTTACTTTGAAGCCTTAATATCATTGCTTTTCCTTCTGGTAATCCTTTTTATCTTTGAAGACTTAAAAAAAATTCATTCTGCAGCCACACCAGTTTTAAAAGTAGAAGAATGTTACATTGGGTTGACTTTTCCCCTCCTCTGGTTTATTCTGCATATACTTTCTTCTTTCTTGATATAATGAGGATAGCAGCATAGGCTCCCTTTCCTTGGGTAATACAGCACATCAAATCGTCTTGGGGCATGAATGCTTGTTGAGAAAAATCAAAAGTAAAAAATGATCCCCAGTTAGTTGAACGTGATGATAAAATTGTGTTAGGGAGAAATGAAACTCTACAGCTGCAGTTATGTAAATATTAAAGTCAGTGCATTCTTTCTGCAGCTTTTTCTCTTCAACTTCTATCCCTTTGTGCAAAGATTTCTGCAGCCCCACCAAAGAGGTAAGCCTCCCACTTGCCATTTTCCTTTGGTGGCCTTGGGTTTAGAGTAGCCATCCCAGTCTTTTGTTCCGTAATTATTAAAGAATTAGGAGTGTGTTTCAGAGAAGGAGAGAGAAACCCTTATGTGTTCTTTCCCACAATCTGCTGTGGGTTAATTGTTCTCATCAAGTTAACAAGGTTATTTTTGGAAAACAAAAAACTGGATTCTTAAAGCAAGTCTTTTTGTAATACCATGAATACTCAGGTAGAAAATTGTGAAAAAAGAAATCTGACCTTCTACTGTAACTTTGTAATAGATATCAGGATTTTATCTTATTGTTATCATTGCCCTCGTGTATTTGCACATAAAAACAACATAAGAGCAGGAAAGAAGAGATGGTTGTTTTGCCTTTAAACTTAAACCAAGATAAGAAGGAAGCCAGCATTTGTTAAACATCTAACCTGAGCCAAGCTCAGTGCCGTGTCACGCACTGTGCAAAGTGCTTTACATACAGCATCTCATCAGATCCTCACTTCAGTCCTGCAAGGTATAGAAATAAAAAAGACCAGGCAAATAAATGGCAAATTAGGATTCACCTCACTTCTTTCTTTTGCCTAATGTATACTGCCTGCCCCTTTCAAAGAGAGTGTGTGTATGTATTTATGTTTGTAGTCATTCATTCATTTAGTGATTTCTAATCTGGGCACTGAGTTAGACACTCAGAATTTCACAGTGAGCATGAAAGTGAGCACAGTGAGCACCTTTGTAGAGCTTGCATTCTAGAGGGAGATCCAGAGAGTACTATGTGTCCAGTGTCCAAGTGAAGATAAGTCTTTTGAGTAAAAAGAAAGCAGAGTTAAGATGATAGGGAGAACTGGGGTAGATTCTAGTTAGATTATGTCAGGAAAGACATTTTGATAAGGCAGCAGTTGAGCAGGGACCTGACGGAAGTGAAAGAGTGAGCCATGCAGACACCTGAGGGTTGGGCATTCCAGCTAGACTTAGCAATAGGATTAAGGGCCAGAATATGCTTCCCATGTTTGCTCTTAGTCCTGAGAGGCAGAGCAATAAACTGACTATGATCTTTCTGATCTCTTACATTTTTAGAGGTAACAAAGATTCTTCTGTTTGCTGCCCAAGCATCTCATCACTTAGTACCCCCAGAGGTGAGAACTCTTAAACCTTATTTCTGTCTGCATAGCAGTGCCACTATTAAGTATATCATGGTGGCTATTCCCACAGAGATTACTGCTCCCCTGTGTCACTTTTCTTCAAAGTGAGAAGAAGAGACACTAACTCTTAAGGAGATAGATACAGAGGTTTAGTTATAGAAACTGAAAAAAAATTTTTACTATAGAAAAGCAAAGTTTGTTTTAGAGAAGTTGTTGAGAATTCTCACTTTAATTGCCAAAGCTTGGGAGATCAAGAGTTATCGGTAAATTTATAGTGAATATTTTTCAAAGCTGATCATTCCTTTCTTTGATTAAAATAGCATTGAATTGTCCTGGGTCAAAACAATTTTTTAAATCCATATTGGAAAATAATATTGAAGGGGAGCAAAATTTAATCTGAGGATAACCAAGAAGCCTGCAACCCAACGTACTTTTATCTGTCTTCCTCAGTCTTGATTCCTTCCTACTCCCAAAACGAAGATGGAAGGCTGGTTTTTCACTGTGAATCGTCTGTTGTCCCTTAATCCTCAAGTGTTTGAGTTGGTGGAGACATTTTATCAGCTCTCTCCTTTCTTTCCCGATTCAGATCATTCAGTCATTGCTCATGACTGTGGCCAACAATTTTGTCACCGACAAGAACTCTGGAGAGGTCATGACAGTAGGGTATGTAGAACGTGCCTGCAGGAAGTGGGTATGTTTTCAATGTACGGTTGGCCCTAGAAGCCCTATAAAACCCAACTTATGTACCTTTGATTTGGTCTTTTTTAGGAAACCTTAGACTGACCCATCTGTGATTGCTGTTTGGGTTTTTTAAATTCATTTTCCTTTTCTAGAATCAATGCTATAAAAGAGATAACAGCTCGATGTCCTCTAGCCATGACTGAAGAACTTCTCCAAGACCTGGCTCAGTATAAAACACACAAAGATAAGAGTAAGTTGCATGTTATTCTCTGTAGATCAAATATTGAGTGACTCTTTTTTCTCAGTAGCCTCTTTGCTCTGGAGTTTCTTTTCTTTTCTTTTTTAAAAAATGATTATTTTTGAGAGAGAGCACATGCGCTCACACGTGAGTGGGGGAGGGCAGAGAGAGAGGGAGAGAGAATCTCAAGCAGGCTCTGCACTGACATAGGACTCAATCTGTGAGTCATGAGATC